CGGATATTCAAGTGTTTCATCTACTTTCATTTTCATGGACTTTTAATTTGTTTAGATACAGTTTCTGTTTTCTTTTGTTCTAGTTCTACCCGTCCTTAGTTGTCATGGTTTCTGAGTTGATGGTGTGGTTCTGTTCAGGTGTTCGTCTTTAACCTTGTTGGCTCTGTGTATTAAACTCCCTCTTGTTTCGGTTCAGTTTGTCTGGTCTCATCAGTGTTTTGTTTAGTTTGTCCTTGTCCTTTTTTGGATTCTCTTGAGTGTGGATTATTAAAGACTTTTGAATCTTCATCTTCTTCTTCATGTGCTTTTAACAACCAAGTTGTGACACATATATATTTTATTACAACATTAGTTTTTATTTTTAATTATTTATTTGTATTATTTAAATTAGTTAATGTAACCTATATACCAATACTGATCGGTATACTATATATACCATATTTATTTTATATATATATAATTTTATATATAATTTTAATGTTTATTTTTAGTTACCATTGATTACAATAAACCGTAAGTATTTCTGATTTTTTAATTATTATGTCTCTAATAGTCTATAAGTCTAAAAGGTCTGCATAAGGTCTGCAAAGCATTTATTCCATCATCTTTCCTCATATAGTGAACTTTGTGACGTCATGTGTTCAACACCATGGTGAGATGTCATGATATACATCAGCAGAGCAAAATAACCCGTTTTCCACTCTGTATTTCTACAGGAGCTCAGAGTCTCATGCGTCATGCTGACGCTCACCTCAAAACCACAGCAGGTGTAGATACAGCAGATACTGACCACACTGTCTGAACAAACAGATCAGATCTCAGTCATCGCCAGAGAAATGACAGCGTCGACTGACAGATCAGATCCGAAAAACAAATATATGTGTGTGTGTGTAATCATGCTTGATTAGTCTTTATCTGTCCAGAGCTTCTGTAATGAAAACATACAGGACGTCCGGCCCGCCCACACTCGTCCTGTCCTGCACTCTGATTGGTCGAGCCAATCAGACCAAATTTAGTGTTTAATATACAGTTATGAATCTTACCCATTAAACACACGTTGACCTTATCATGAGTATTTTACAGTACATGACTCTTTCCACACGTTTTCCAGTCCCTGTTTTTCATATTCCCGTGTTTGGAGTTGTCCGTCTCGCTCCGGTTGTTGCTTGCACGGGTTTCCGCAGGGATTTTCTGACAGGATCAGGGGAATTACAGGCGATTCTCTGAGCTGAAATCAGTCAGAGACAAAGAACGAGAGAAAAGGAAAGTTTGCTCCGCAGGAGCTGATTACTCTCACTGAATGCTGGGAAATTAATAACAAGAGCTTTGACATGTAGATTCAATTCACTATCATAATCACACATGAGAGGAAAGATTACACAACGAAAGAGGGGAAGACGGCACAGCTGTACAACCAAGAGAAAATATGAAGGAAAAATTGATTTTCAGTGATTTCTGCACCGTTTAGAAACATTCTGTGCATGATATTACAAAATAAGCGCATTTAATAAGCTAAAGCCCCATATTTGAGCATATATGTTTGGTTCTTAAAGGGGGCATGACACACACAGTTTCACCCAATCTCATGTTAATCTTGAGTACCTATAGAGTACTACTGCATCCTTCATATCTCCAAAAAGTCTTTAGTTTTATCATATTTATAAAAGAAAGATACAGCTTTACGATTCTCTCCAGAAAAGCCGAGCTCCTGGAGGCGCACCGTGGGCGGAGCTAAAGAGTGACGCGCACTTGGAAGCGCGAATGCCAACAAAACAAGACATTTGATGCCGTTTCACTTACCGTCTGCAGTTCTGAATCATGACCGGGATCTTTTATAGCTGGACCGCTCCATCTTTCAGTATCAAACCATGTGCAAATCCAGCGTCGAACTGGGCCTTGTTTATAAAACGTTCGTCAACAAACACACTTGTGAAACTCCATTGCTGCTCCGGAAAAACAAACTGTCTCCACTGTTCACATAACGCTGGGTTCTTTAGGAAGATGAACAAAGTTATCTTTCCCTTACAACCAAAAACACACTTCTTTGGATTGGAGACATTCTTCCCGAGCAAGTCCCGTGCAGCGCTGCCTCTGGATGAAGCACGTTGATGGGCGCGATCTTGCTCTCGCTCTCGCTTTGGTCAATGTGTGCACGGGCGCGCGCTTGCGGGAGAAATGCCCATATAAGGAGTTCCACCCTCGTCTACGTCATGAAGAGCCACGATCGAAAAAAACTCTCCGAAACTTGTAGGAACCCGGAGGTAAGATTTTTGGCACAGGAATACTCCATACGTCCAAATTGTTTTTTGAAACTTTGTCCATGCTTAGCATGAGAATCCAACTCTTTAACAGTGTAAACAACTCTGAATGTATGAAACAGCATTGTACCCCCCCCCCCTTAAAGAGCCTCTCGTCGTTTGATCCGCTGAAATGGGTTTATGTTTTCAGTGCCACAGAAGCTCCTGACCTGGAGAAACGAGAATAACCTTGTTCTTTATTCATGCTTCAGTGACACGAGCTGCTGTGTTTCCCCATAGATAAACCAGCACAGCCCACTTATGAATTAGTTTAGGTTTGAAAAAGACATAATGAAGCTCCATTCGTGGTTGATTTAGTAGAGCAGGTTTAGTTGAACTATCCAGTGTGGGTGTTATTCATCCTAAATAGTATATGAGATAAACAGCATAAAAGTTAAATAATTAATTTTTTTTATTTATATAAAAAAAAAAAAAAATAATATA